GGGGGGGGGACACTCTGGGGGTTGATGGACTGCCTCGCCCCTCAGTGCCAGGCATCATAGCCCATCCTGGGGGTGGGGGTGGAAACTGGGCTCTCACATCCACCCACATCTTTTAGATCCCATCCACATCCCCCAAACGGGACGCCCTGTTCCACCTTCGGACCAGACACCAAGGTGAGTAAAAACACCCGCCAAGGAACCGAGGGGTCTTTGGTGGCTCCTGGGTGGATGGAGCATCTGGGGGGGGGATACGTATCTGGTGGGCCTGGAGAGAGCGTCACACAAGGAGACCCCCACACACCCCACCTGGGGGGGTTTCCCCCTGCCAACAAGGGGGCCATGCAGGCCCTCAGCAGCTCCTGGAGAAAATTGGCTTGAAACCCCCCCGGAAGTCCAACAGGCAGGAAGTTGAGAGCAGGAAAAATCTTGGGGTTTTGTAAATTCTATCTTATTAAATTTTATTTAATTGTAAAACATAAGATTTATTTTTTAAAAAACCTTCAATTAGGGTGATGAGGAGGAAGTTCCCCCCCCTTTCCTACTGTATCTACCACTTTCTCCCCTAACCTCGGATTCTCCTTTCTGCTTAAATTCCGTCTCCTCCGTGGTAGAAGTCCAGAGAGGCCCAGAGGAGGAGAATAGCAACCAGTTCCCCCAACCTCAGGCGAAGGGAGATTCGAACCCAGTGCTGCCCACCCTTGTCAACAGCCAATCAGCAGGAAACTTGCCCCGAAAAACCTAGACACGAATCTTAAGACTCGCATGACCCAGGCTGTGGGGGCCCTTCCGGAAAGCCAAGCAACCTCTGTCCCCCCGCCCCCCCCAGCCGGGTCGGAATGGCAGCTGGAACGCGTTCCTTTCTGGGGCAGGAACGGCGGGAGGCGGGGCCCGTTCCGTGGGCGAAGCACCCAGGGCGCCCCCTGCTGGTCGCCATGTGCGACACGGCCGGAGGGGGCGGCGAAAGAGGGAGGAGGAGGAGGAGGAGGCGCGGAGCTGGGGGCGGGGG